CAAGTACAATTGTTCCCCCCTCCATCCCTATTGGGGTTGATAAATCAAATAGTCTCTTGGATGATGATGATATATTCAAGGTAATCATTTTCTGTTTATTGTGGTTTACTAAAATAATAATTGTATGTCTTAATTTTTATTATTTAATAACAGCATATTTTTTGCACTTTTCTAGGATGTTGATGTTGATGATAGCCTAAATCGACCATCGATGGAGATTGATAATTATTTGAATACTCCTCGTCAACCATCAATTGAAGGGCAGAATTATGATGTTCTCAAGTATTGGGAATCTCAAATTAATGTGTACCCCATATTAGCTATTATGGCTAGGGATGTTTTGGCCATTCCTATTACATCGGTAGCCTCTGAGTCTTCTTTTAGCATCGGTGGTCGTATTTTAAACAAGTATAGGAGTGCACTTTTGCCTAAGAATGTTGAGGCGTTGGTTACCACACAAAATTGGTTACGTGGTTATGATTGTGATATTGAAGAAGACGTCCTTGAAATTGGTAAAGAGGTGATAGATGAAAGTTTTGCATCTAATTAGAAAGGTATGGATGTTGCTATTTTACTGATGCTTAATTTATATTGTGTTGCTTAATTCAAGCTTTCTTGTTTTTTTTTTGTGAGAAAAGTGTAGCTTCATTTCTTACACTAATGATAAGTATAGGGTGCTGCTACTGCTGACTGCTTCTTCTCCTTACTGATGTTCTGCTAACTTGCTGTGTTGCTGACTTGCTGTTCTGCTGTTGTTCTTCCATTCTGTTGCTGCTCTTCTTCCATTTTGCTGTTGTGTTGCTCTTCTTCCATTCTGTTGTTCTGCTGCTCTTCTTCCATCGCTGCAGTTCTGCCATTCTGCTGCTGCAGTCTGCAGTGCTGCTGATCTGCCATTCTGCTGCAGACTGTGGTGCTGGTGTTAATCTTGTTATGCTAAAAACTTGTACAATTCTGTTGTTAAAACTTGTTTGTATGGATTGGTTGGTTTGATTTTGTTACTTTGTTGTTAAAAATTGTTTAATTATGTGTATGGATTGGATTGGTTTGTTTTGGTTTTGTTAAGTTGAAACTTGTTGAATTAGAAGTTTTATAACTTGTTAATGCTATTAATCCTATTATGCTACTGGAATACTGCTATGTTGATGAATAAGGCCCAAAAGGCCAAAAAATTATAGGTTATTGCCCAAAAAACCAAAATTGCAGATTATTCCCCAAAAACCAAATTAAAGTCAATACTCACGGATTAGCTAACGAAGTGCTATTTCTAAGGGAATTTAGTATTAACTAAGTTACTAAGATATATACAATTAATATGATAAGTATATGGTCTCTAGAAAAATTGATAAGTATGGAATATATGCTAAATATATTCTAAGATTTCTAATACTTAATCCATATAATTACATAAAAAAGTGCACCAAAAAAAAATTTATTATTACATACAAAAAAAGCTTGTAAACGGTTCGATTTATAAGCGGTTTGGTTCATAAACGGTTCAGTTTATAAGCAATTCGGTTTATAAACGGTTCGGTTCATAAACGGTTCGGTTTATAAGCAGTTCGGTTTACAATCAGTTCGGTTTTTAAATGGTTCGGTGCAAACGGGTAGCAGTTTGCTAACAGTTCGGTGTAAGCGGTTTTTATGCCAGTTCAAACGGTTTCGGGTTGGTATCGGTTTCGGGTTAGATACGGTTCGGTTCTTTTTCGGTTCGGTTTTCTTACAGTTCGGTTTATATTTGGTTCAGTTTGTTAACATGTTCGGTTCTTAAACGGTTTAACATTACTCGGATTGGTTCGGTTTTGGGTTTACTAAAATGCGGTTCGGGTCGGTTTTCGGTTTCAAAGAAACGGTTTTTAATCGGTTCGGTTCTCATTTGGGTCGGTTGGATTCGGGCAGTTAAACGGTTTCGGTTTGAAATTTGACAGCACTAACTAGGATGGGATTTCTGTCCCTTTTTTTAGACTTATTTGATACTTTAACATAAGATGGTACTTTTAATTTAATTTATACTCTCTCTTTCCTTACCCTATAATATGTGTTTTGGAAATCATTGAAAGTCAAATAAAAATAGAAGATCCATAAAGGTCAATTAAGACAATTTTTAACGGACAAAGAAAGTAAAATTAAACTACAATGAAATGTAATAAAATTATTACCATAATCTTTCCATATCAGCTGCCATGTCATACTTTCAAGAATATTTTTTGTTTTGTTATTTTGTCTTTTTCCTTAACGGTTTTTTCAGGTTCATTGTATGAATGATTAGCTATCCTAAGTTTGTTGCTAGATTCCCTGAGCACATGCTATAAGGGTATAAGATGGATTTTCTTTTCATTCAAGCAATTTAATCATACTCTCTCTTTCACTCTAATATCCTCTGCATTGAATAATTGCATAATGATTTGATTTAATCATCATGGTATCATAGCCAATTAATGCAGTGTTGGATTACTGATATTCCTTGATTGCTAATTTTCCTTCCGATCTTCTGAAATTTTTGATTGATCCAAGAATATTTTATGTTTCTTCTCTATTTCTTCTATTCTCTCTTTTTCTTTCCTCTCTTCTTCTCTCTTCTTCTTCCTCTTATCTTTCTGCAATGACTGGAGGTCGAATTTCCTTCCAGGATATGTTAAATCCTCTATTTCTTATTCATCCCTCAGACAGTGCTACATCTGTTCAGGTGGACAAACTTTAAGGTTCCAGTGATTACAAATCATGGCGCAGATCTATGGAGATCAACCTCTCATCAAAACACAAGCTAGAATATAATTTGTGATGGGAACGATGCTCAAACCTACTGATGATGAACTCAAAGCTATGGAATACCTGCAATGACATGGTAATAGCCTAGATCACTAACAATGTTTCTCCTTCTATTAAGTAATTCATTATGTTTATGACTTTTGCTAGAGAAATCTAGATGAATATAGAGAAACATTTTTCTTTGACTAATGGATCTAGAAAATATAAGCTTAGCAAAGAATTATTTGAAACTAAACAAGATTCCATGCCTGTGAATGAATATTACACTTGCATGAATGCTATTTGGGAAGAATTTGATTCCATGAACATGCTGCCTATTGTTAGTGAACGCACTCAATTTCTCGTGATATAAATTACTAGATCATCTTCCACATTTGCATACTAGTCCAATCATGGGTGACAAAGCAGCATTGGAGAAACTTAGAGAGGAACTCCAAAACCTAAAGGCCCTACGAGAAGAAGAAGCCCAAATGAAGGCTCATAAAAAAAGCAGAAAAGGCTAAAATAAAAGCAGAGGAAGAAAAAGAAAATATTCTGCAAGAAAAAAAAAGAGCCGAAAGATTAGAGGCCTTGGAGAAACTTGTCCTTCGAGCTAGCTCAGGGACTAAGTACTTCAATTATGAGCTTGCACCACAACCTAGTGGCAAGACTCTTCCAAAAAAGTTCTTGACTACGGATTTAACAACCTTTAAGGTTACGGACAATCCTAGTTCTCACTTAATGAGCTTTATTGGAATTACAACATTGAAAAGGGTTGAGAAAAGTCTATATGCATGTACTTTTCCTCTTTCATTGGACCCAACTGCTAGATCATGGTTTTATAACCTCGATGCATAACAAGCTTCCACTTGGAGTGATAAAAGCGTTTTTAACCCAATATGGAGATAACATCGAGCTCACAACTACCTTGCGCGATCTTGAATTGCTTAAGCAAAGGGGAGAAGAAAGCTTCATTGGCGTCTTTTCCAGGTGGCGATCAAAGGTTGCTCTTCTTTCATAAATACCTACGGATCATGAACTTGTCCTAAAGTTCATAGACAATATGTCTCCACCATACAAGTATCATTTACAATACCTTGATTTAGACACATTTCGAAAGGTTTATACTGTGGGAACATTAATTGAAAGGGACTTGATGAATGAAACCATGAATCATATAGATGGACTTGATTTTTAAAGAGCATTTCACCTATGTCGGAAATGGACAAAGCTCGAAGACGCAATCTCAAGAAGTTGTCAACAATTCAAGATGTAGCACCCTAGGTCTTGTTTTGTTTCTTTCCTTTGTTTTTTTTATGATAGACTAAGAGATTCATGCTGTCGAATCTACTTATTTTGCACTCTCATTAATTAATGAATAAAAATATATTTTCAAGTACGTCTATCTTGTTCTCTTTTTTAGGGGGTAAGTCGGGATGATCCCTCCCATTTGACAACTAAAATACTCGAAAATAGTATAATTTTTTCGCTCTTTGCCTCAAGTTGGGGGCTTAAAAAAGCCAGGACATCCCTATTTCTCTTTATTTACAGACTTGAACACGCTATTTATGCTGCAAAATCAATGTCACACAAAGCTTATTGCGAACCATCTTAATAACTTTAAATGACAAAGGGAAGAATACCACTTCCCATTATTTGACCAAGATAATTAATTATGTTACTTGATCAAACAATTTTTGATAAACATATGCAATATTCAGCAGATCGAAAATACAAATCTTGGGGCCTTAAATAAACATGAGAAACGTCCCCTAGCATATGTATAAATGAATTCCAAAATCCACCTAAAGTCTACGCTTGGGGGCTTCAAATTAAAAATATAGGTCTCACCTTAACTTTCATTTTGAAATGAGACCATATTTTGGAAAGTGATTCGAATAATTTTATAAATTATTCTAACACTCCATCAAACCTAAGTTTGGTAAATATTCATTTTCAAACTACGCCATCTTTTTATTGGAAGAACTCCACTTTCAATTAGCAAAATATGACAATGATGACAAACACTAAAAAGAATAAAACATAAACAAAATCAGATATACAAAAGTTCGCTCACATTGTCATATCTTTGTTGAAATAAGTTGCAAATTACAACTTACCTTCATCAATCTTGGACAAAAAAGTCACGCTCAATTACGAGGTAGACTTTTCTTTCCATTTTGGGTCCAGTTTTGAAAATAATGTGATTATGTATTTTGGCTACTATGAAAAATTATTTTTTTCAAAACAAATTTTCATTTAAATTATTGGGCCCTTTTCAAATTTTGAATTCTAGTTCGAAATAATATGTTTCTAACAAAAAATAGTTTTCAAAATTCCCTCTCTGAATTTTTGTTTCATTTTCTCAAATAAATAAATTTTCAGATTCTCAATAATCGCTTGGATAATACACGTATATACATAGCTATTTCCGAAAGGAAAGAACTAAGATTCGACTTCTTCATGACTCGAACTTGTTCTCATTGGCTTAGGGATGGTAAACAAACCACCTGCAAGACCAAAATCAAAGATTGATAAGAACAAAGAAAATATTTGATGTTTAAAATCAACTTTGAGAATAAAATCATCGCAATGATCTTTACAATCGTTTAGACATTAGGTAAGATTACTAAACCTTAAACACAATTGTTTTGGTTTATAAACAAGCAAAGAACTAACTTGATTTCTTGAACATGACTTTAACTAAAATGCGAAAGCCATGTCATTGTCCTAAATATCTCAAAACAAAAATAGGACATATACATAACAGAATTCATAACTGAGTTAGGATGGATAGTTTGTTCAGCGTTGTTTAGTCTTCTTAATTTTAGGTTTGTGGAGTTGGTTGGTATTGGTTGTAGAATTTGATGTTAGAGTGGTATTGTATAGTCTTCTTAATTTTAGGTCTGTGGAGTTATATGATGTGAATCCTGGTATAGACTCACCCCTCAACTCAAGCAATGAAACAGTAACACTCAATTTTGTCTTGTTGTTACTGTCATATAGCTTCTCTGTCCTATATCGCTGATTTGTGTGCTGATATGTGCCTTCGCGTTTCAAAAACATTGTGTTTTTGTCTAGGGTTTATGATAGGGGCTCAGGTGTAGCCCCTTTAGAAGGCCATGATATTTATCAATTACTGTTTCTGATATTAGAACGAAAAAGCAAAAATTATACTCTTACCTCCATTCTTATGTGTAGTAATTGTGGCTTACTCGTTTTGAAAGAATTTCCTTTAAGCTGTGACCTTTATACATTGTAAGGTCTAAAAAAATCATAAAAATCATTAGATTAAACGAAAGAAAAATATATCTACTCACATGCATATGAATACGTAGTACTAGGAATGTTGTGTAGTAACATCTTCATTACTTTGGACAACTCTGAGTTTCGAGCGTTCGGAGGTGATTGAATAACAGAATCAAACTCATACACAACAGTCATACGCAAATCAATCACAAAGAGTATCCAATGATTCCTACATTTTAATAAACTTGTTTGTATTATTCACATAATTAAAATAATAAAATTATGAAAAAGTAAAGATTTCAAGGATCAGTAGTACATACGATTCCATATGTGGAGCCAAAATGAATTTGCATTGTGCATCCTTTTTCCTTAATTCAGTAAGAAAAGCATTTTTCAAATACATTTGGACTTCAAAGAAATCTTTCTTGATTTGAGCTGTAGAAATTTTTTAGGAGCACAAGAACTTGATTTTAGTCTTCTGAAATAATGAGATATGCTCTTCAATTAAGTACCTTCATTTTACAGAAAAAATAAATAATTAGTATAATAAATGGATCTAATAAAATATATTTCATAGTAAAACAAATTCAAATAACTTAAATGAATGTTAGTATTTACAATATGTAGACATGGATTAATGAAATATTAGCCCATGCTCCTCGTAGTAATTCAGAGACATTATCACTAGTAACATAAATTTGTGTGTCTTCCTTTTGATAAAACAGTGGAGCCTTCAATGGAATTGTCATAGTATCATAATATCCACTTCCTGAAGTCATGCAATAATACAACATAGAACATTGTTCACCAAGACTCTCAACAATATTTTCCGGAATAGTTATGCCTTTGCCTTTAATAGTTGAATGCTCTGAGTTGATAGGTCCGCAACTATCAACTTTCTCTTTGGTTTGCACCAATTCATTATCCGTCATTTTTTCTAAAGTCATAACCTTTAAGAAAAGATAAATATTAATATAATTTAGTTACAAATATCTTAGACCATTACATAGCATATCAATGAATTACCTCATCAGTAAAGAAGACTAAATCTGCCGGTCACCCTAAAAAATAACCTTTTGCCTCACTCAACTTGGTGATACAGTCATCAGAGTCTTCTAAGAGATTTAGGTGAGATGTCATAATCACTAACTAACTATATAGATGTCACGGTTCATTTTCTTGTTATGAATCACTCCACTAGGACAAGGTTCTGCCGTTCCATCGGCCATAATCACTGAGTTCCCACTGAACTCATCAACTAAAGCAAGACGAAATTTAGTTGGGACCTACATAATTGATCATGTCGTAAGAAACATGAAAGCATAATCTACAGTTAACAACTAATATTCAAAAGCTGAATACAGTGTTTATATTTTAAAGCATTGATGTAAAAAAATAAGATTAATAAAATTTATGAATGATATTATCCTTTTCATAAATTAGAAACATTTTATATAAGCAATAAGACCGATTAGTTCTATATGTCTACATGTTTAATAAATATGTGTGTCAAGGGACATAATAAGGCTTCCAGATTATAATTATGTCAATAGACTAAATGTCACGTACACTATAACTATCTAAGACCCTGAGATTCCAAGGAATATAAGAACCAGAACTAATGAATACATGAAAGTAAAGACACATCCCATTAGCATCAAGCCTCAAAGAATCCTAATCTTCCATTCTATTGTCCACTGTTTGAGATTTTTCACTTTGAAACATTGATTCAGCCTTCTCCATATCATATTTTCCTAATATTTCAAAATCCCAAAGAGCGGGCAAATAATTTTATGACTAAATTAGTACGTGGAGGCTGAGCATTTTTTCTATTACAAACATGGAGAAATAATTTTTTTTTTTTTTTTATGTTGAAGCAACCATTCTTTGGCTCTTTTAGTTTTCTTATTTTTAACTCCAAGAGAATTCAAAAAAAAAAAAAGCCATCAGGAATCCTGTTCCAAATTATTTGAATTACATACTCCTGTAAAAAAAACTCGAGATCTAATTATGAACCAGCTAAATTATAATGATTCAGCCATTAATTGTACAAAATACAGATTATAACATCAGAAGCAATGAATATGGAACCTCAATGAAAAAGAATGTTCACTGATCATGGTATATTCTAAAGTAGCTTATCACAGTAATTCTGGCTCAAGTACTCTTGTTAGATAAAGGTACAAGTCCAAGTGTCAAACACTAAAACTAATATTTTATTTAAACATCTATGTGTCAGGTGCAAATGAAGTATAGTAAGGATGTCAAACATCAAGCACCCATCACTATTATTTGATTAAAATGAGGAAATATGCTCAAAACAATATGAGAACTACAATGTATCTTTCTTAATAATTTTGGAGACAAAAATTGACTGTTTGAGGATAGAAAGAGCAATGCAATATTTTTGTTTCTAGGAAAAAAGGGATGATAGGTTTGGGTGATATACATATAAATATATAATGAGAATCAAAAGTAATGCAGTGCCTCAATTGAAGCTTTTTGCATAAGGGCCATTGGGCATGTGGGATTATGGTACATACATTTCCCCTGGAAATAGCAATACCATCATTAGGTTAGATCCTTGATTTAAAGTGCATTGGCTAAGAACAACTTCAACGAACTTCATGGAGCATATGATTATGATTGATATCAAACGAAGTCTATACACTCATATCAGAAACAGTAATTGATAAATGTCATGGCCTTCTAAAGGGGCTGCACCTGAGCCCCTTTCATAAACCCTAGACAAAAACACCATGTTTTTGAAACGCGAAGGCACAAATCAGCACACAAATCAGCGATACAGGACAGAGCAGCTATATGACAGTAACAACAAGACAAAAATAAGTGTTACTGTTTCATCGCTTGAGTTGAGGGGTGAGTCTATACCAGGATTCACAACATATAATTCCACATACCTAAAATTAAGAAGACTATACAATACCTCTCCAACAGCAAATTCTACAAGCAATACCAACCAACTCCATAAACCTAAAATTAAGAAGACTAAACGACGCTGAACAAACTATCCATCCTAACTCAGTTCTGAATTCTGTTCTGATTTTCAGTTCTGAATTCAGTTCTGAAATTCAGCTCTGAATTACGTTCTGAAATTCAGCTCTGAATTCAAATTTGATTTTCAGTGCTGAATTCAATTCTAAATTCAGGTCTGATTTTCAGCTCTGAATTCAAGTCTGTTTTTCAGCTCTGAATTCAGGTCTGATTTTCAGCTCTGAATTCAGGTCTGATTTTCAATTTAGAATTCAGTTTAGATTTTCAATTCTGAATTTAGGTCTAATTTTCAGCTCTGAATTCAGGTCTGATTTTCAGCTCTGAATTCAGGTCTGATTTTCAGCTCTGAATTCAGTTCTGAAAGTTGGCTCTGAATTCAATTATGATATTTAGTTCTGAATTCAGTTCTGAAATTTGGCTTTGAATTCCGTTTTGATTATCAATTCTGCATTCAGTTATGAATTTAGACTTTGAATTCATTCTGATTCTCAATTCTGCATTCATCTCATGTCATAATAATTAAGAGTTCAATCTCAGTCAAATGAAGGTTTACCTCTAACAAGCGAGGACTTAGCTCCGTTGGATTGGTTCAGTTAGATAAGGAAGGTTGAGCATCATTTACTTCCAAATCATTAACAGTCATGTGTAGTATGAAGTCAGAAAGATAAGAATTTACAACTGCTGCAATGCCTTCCTTTAATTTTTCTTCAAATTCCCGAGTTAAGTTCTCTTTAAATTCATATAGTTCTTGTAATGAGCAACCACTTTTAGACATGTTTTTTACCTTTTACCGGGCCAAATGATTTTCTATAGCCGACACCAATCCCACATCCACCAAGTCATTTCACAAATCCACGATGGTCCTTTTTCCCAAATGCCAAAGTAAGGGCATCAACGCCTCGTTCTGATTGTTTATACTCTCCTTCCTCAGATTCCTTTGCTTGTTTTTCCAAGTTCTCTTCCTGTTTGAAAAAACATAGAAAAAGTTAATTAGATGACCAGAAATCTGTAATGCCAGTAGATTTCCGCGTTTTGATAAACTATGACATACAACTATATTGGCAATTCGAATAGTCTCCGTATCTTTTGGGTCGATGCCCCATGTTCCATCTGGAAACCGCTTTTCATGAGCTAAAACCCACTCAAGAGCTCGACGATTAAAAATAGAACCAGTTGATGTACTGCTCTGGGAAGTGTTACCAGTAGTTGAAGATTCTGACAAAGCAGGAAATCTATTTTCAAGTCTCTTTTGCTTATTCCAAATTGTCCGAGCTCTTTGAAAACTGTTTCAACCCAAGTGATGGCAACATTTGTTTAGCTTTGCATTTTCTTTCCCCTTTTCACTCTTTTCCTGTTTTTTTGTTTAAAAAAAAAAGAAAAGAAAAGAGAGTTAAACATTATCATATTCTTCACAATCAGTTAAAATATGTAGTTACCTTGAATTCTGCTGATTTACTATATATTTCGAATCTCTTCCATTTCTCCTCTGTAAAGTAACCTTCATACACTTCCCATGGCTTCATATTTGCTTCAAGAGAAGTGGCCGGGTATAGGTTTTTAAAAGTGATGAATCGTGCCCTTAAATTCGACTTGTGACAGCTGAATCGCGAAGCCACAATAGTATGAAACCTTTTTTGCCTTTCTCCACTTGGATCCTCAATGTGGAACATTAGTTATGGATTAAAAAAAAGTGAACTAATACTTTGAAAAGCAACATGACTAACTAGTAAGTGAATAGTTTATACCTTTGTCTCCTCCCATATATTTTCCCTATCCACTTTATCTATTTTTGCATACTCATTCACAGTGATGTCTAATCTCTTAGCACATGCACCAATTTGTTTTCCATAAACGGGTTCCCATTCACCAGTAGACAAGTCAAAATCATTAAATTCAAGCACCATATGTTTACTTGATTGTATTGCTTTTGATGGCCCCCTACTCCTCTTCTTAGATGATGTGGCTTGCAAAGCAACATCTTGGCTTGAGGAAGTTTGCTCTTGACTTTGTTGAATGGCCATATTTATTCTTCTTGATATAGAAGTGCCTGCATAAAACAAAAGACAAAAACTGATAGAATTAAATATCACATGAACATAGCTATATTTTTACAGATTATAAAAGGTTTCTATCTACAAGTAAGCAACAAAGCAAGAAAATATAAATAATAAAAGCAACCTACAGAGAAATTATTTTTCGATTCCGGAAGTTGTAATACCAATTAAAACAGTCAACTTGTGCTGCATATATAAGAACTATGTAAAATTCCATTTAATATGTCAAAGCTCAAAAGACTAAAATCCAAGTGAAATTGGAGGTTTTATAGTATTCTAACATTATTGTCTATCATTATAGTTACAAATTAATCGAAGAATTAAAAAGAACTACACATTGATAAAAAATGAAGCCTATGTATCAACATATTCTCCCTCCTCATGGGCATACTCTTCATCAGCGACAATGTCTTCCCCCTCTCTTAGGGGTTGAACCCCAATAGATAGAGGCGGTGTATCATCAAATAGGTCATACTCTTCCTCATCGACAACATTTTCGACACCAACAATTCTTCTCTTGCCTTGAACAACAACCTGCTAGTTATGATCAATGTTATCCCTTATATAGAAAATTTGTTTTGCTTGTGAAGCTAAAACAAAGGGCTCCTCTCCATCAAAAAATCGACTTGAATCCACTAAAGTAAAACCAAATAGTTCATCTATCTTTTTGCCTCGCCGGTTGTCAGCCCACCTGCATCGGAAAACTGGAACTACAAAATCAACATAATTCATCTCCCATATCTCTTGAATGACCCCATAGTATGACTGTGTTGCATTAATATGCCCAGCATCCTTAGAGCTTGAGTATTCCGTAGAAGATGCGACAACCATGACACCACTATTTTGATCTACACTCTTATCATCTTGACGACTAGTATAGAAACAATATCCCGTGCAAGCGATCTGATCGTATCAGATACATTATTATTCTGTTGCCCTAATTCACACTTCACTTGGTTTTGAAACCATTCCACAAAAGAATGATTATGTTTTTGCATCAAAGCATATGTACTTATTCTTGGATTCATTCTTTTCAAATAATTGAGATGAGTTTCTATATAAGGATGTACTTCTGAAAGGTTTTGAAGAACATAACGATGAGCTTTCTGGATTCTATCTGATGGAGACTTCACAAACTGAAGACTAATCGTCCCTTGCCCTTGAAGTCTGCCATCATAACGAGTTGTTGGGACTCCAATTTCTTTAGCCTTAGTTAAGAACATAGAACAAAAGTTACTAGCCTCCTCTGCAATAATACCTCCAACAATACTACCTTCTAGATGTGCTTTGTTGGTCGCCTTTTCTTTCAAAGTTCCCATGTGTCTCTTATAAGGGTACATCCATCTTATAAAAACCGGACCACATTCCTTGATTTCTCGTACTAGATGGACAACCAAATGAACCATTATGTCAAAAAATGAAGGAGGAAAATACATCTCAAATTTGCATAATGTTTCTATAACATCAGTTTGCATTTCATCAAGTTTTTCTGGATCAATCACCTTGTTACATATGACATTAAAAAATAGGCAAAGTTTAACAATAGTGTGCCTAACATGTTTTGGCAAAAGACCTCGAAGTGCAATAGGCAACATCACTTGCATTATGACATGGCAATCATGGGATATCATACCAATTAATCTCTTATCGACCATTTAAACTAGAGGCTTAATGTTCGACGAATACCCTGTAGGTACTTTGATGTTGTACAAACACTCACAAAATATTTTTTTCTCCTCTCTAGACATTGTGTAGCAAGCTCGAGGCAAAAATGTCTTTTTTTGTTTCGTCATTTTCCACGGGCCATAACTTTGGTCGAATATTTGCAAGCTTCATGTCTTTCCGGACATCTTTAGTATCCTTTGTCTTGTTAGGTATATTTAATAATATCCCGATGATCGAATCACATACATTTTTTTCAATATGCATAACATCAAGACAAAGTCTAACAGACAAGTGTTTCAAAGAAGGAAGAGTCCAAAATGTAGACAACTATTTCCAAAGACCCGTAATAGAGGTAGGTTTACCAACTTTCCCAAAAATTGTCTCAACATCTTTGATTCTCTTCCACAACTCTATACCACTAAGTAGCTCACGCAACCATTGTTTCTCTGGGAACCCATTGAATTCAGCTTTTTTCTTACGATAAGGGTGATCTCGACGAAGCAGTTGTCTAGTATGCATATAAACATCCTTTCCAAAATTCTTGAGGTGTGTTGGTTCCATTTTGTCCACAAGGATGGGGCATGGTTTTTTCCCTCTGACTTTGTACCCAGACAAGTTCCCATAAGCCGGGAAATCACTTATAGTGCAAAAAATCATGGCCCGCAAAGTAAAATTTGTACTTGTATGGGCATCGAACATTGGAACACCATTATCCCACAACAGTCTCAAATCCTCTAAGAGAGGCTCCAAGTAGACATCTATGTAATTACCGGGTTGTTTGGGACCCGATATTAGAAGCGACAACATGATGTACTTACGTTTCATGCATAGCCAAGGAGGCAAGTTATAAATCGACAAAAGCACTGGCCATGTGCTATGTTGAGAGCTAAGGGTACCGTAAGGATTCATTCTGTCGGTACTTAATGCAAGTCTCAGGTTCCTAGCCTCTTTACCAAACTCCGGAAATGTATCATCAATATGTTTCCATTGCTTCGAATCAGCGGGATGCCTAATGTACCCATCTTTCTTCCTCTCTTGTGCATGCCACACAAGTTTTTTGCATCCTTCTTGATAGAAAAAAGTCGTTTAAACCTCGGTATTATAGGCAGATACCATAACACCTTAGCTGGTGGCCACTTCTTGCGGTTGAGGTTTGAACCCTCGCGCTTGTAGCGATCAACACCGCACTTTGGACAAGCATCAAGGTTTTCATACTCATTTCGAAAAAGTACACAATCATTAGGACATGCATCGATCTTCGTGTACTCAAGACCTAAGGGACACAATAGCTTCTTTGCATAGTAGGTAGACTTAGGAATGTCATTCCCTTCAGGAAGCATGTCTGATAAAGCTTCTAACAATGAATTGAAACTTGTATCGGTCCAACCGTTCTTTTCTTTCAAGTTAAATAATGTTAAAACCCCTGAATGCTTAGAGTACTTTACACATCAAGGATATAAAGGTGTCTCGGCGGCCTTTGACACATTTTCAAACATACGAGATTCTTCATTCACATGATCACCCAAACAATCCATCATCCCAGGAATGTGATCCTCCTCGAAAAAATCATCGATATCCCTTTCATTATCATCATATTGTTCTCTATTCTACATATCAGCATCATTGATTGATGACCTACTAGTTATAGGAATTATTTTCTCACCGTGCCAATACCAAATGTTATAATTTGCCATGAACCCACGGTGAAATAAATGGTTTTCAACCACACTAATTCCCTTCCACTTCTTCACATTGTTGCAATCACGATAAGGGCAAAAGATTGTTTCTCCTTAAGTAGTCCTCTGGTGTTCAATATCAGTTCTACAAAATTCCTCAATCCCGTTCAAGAACTCGGGTTGAGTTTGATTTTTAACATACATCCAATCACGATTCATTTCTTACTACAAATTATAGAAAAAGCAAGCATATAACTATTAGAACAAGTACATTAGAAACAAACAAAGACAATTACAATAGAACAGCAACCAGAGATTATCAATCAACTCCCACAAGAAAAAATACCTCAAAAAACAGTCAAAGTCACAAGTATGAACAAAATGCATGCACACTTCATATATGCCTACCAGGCTACAACTAATTCATTTTCTCTCTAGAACTATAGTTTGGTTAAATCAATACAACCAATTGGAATAACTGAATAAAATTGGTGTGTTAACTCATTTTCAGCTTTGAATTTGAATCTGAATCATTTTAGTACTGATTATCAGTTTAGAATTTCAGCTCTGAAACCAGTTCTAAATTTTAGCTCTGAAATCAGTTCTAAATTTCAGCTTTGAAATTCAGTTCCGAATTTCAGCTCTGAAATTCAGTTCTGAATTTCAGCTCTGAATAAGCTTTATTTAGTGCAAAATAGTGCATGCCGGCAGATGTTCTGCTTAACAAACAATGCTAATTGTTAACTTCAATTCCTTAAGATGAAAGAGGTATATAACAGATGCTCAGAATGGAAAACAGTGCATGCCGGCAGGGAATATTCCATAATATGTCCAAATATCCAATCACCATAACAAAGGCACACGTGTTTCGTTTACATTTCAGGTAGTGCAGGCATCTAGTGGCAACTAAGCCTAATGCATAAGTACAACACAAATGACTTCAAACCCACATAGCAAAGTGTAAAACTCTAAATACTACAAGAACCCAAATCAGTAATCTTTGTAAGAAATGCCTATCCATTTACGAATAAGTATAAATTTGATAGGTTGTGGGAAATCTCACTGATCAAACTTAACTATGGATCATAGACACAAACATTTGTGGATTCACCAAATAAAAAAAGAAGCAAAGAAATACTCATTAATGCATATTACAATTCCATTTTTGCAGCTATCCAAGTTGTGGATTTGAACTTGAATGTTGAAGTATTAGCGAATTTGTTAAGTACTATCTCGTCACTCAAAACTCAAAAGGATCCAAAACTTTAATTTTAGTTCTGATTTTCAGTCTTGAATTTCAGTTTTGATTGAGTTCTGATTTTCAGTTCTTAACCTCAGATCTGAAATTCAGTTCTGAAATCAGTTTTAAATTTCAGCACTGAAATCAGTTCTGAGTTTCAGCTCTGAAATCAGTTCTGAATTTCAGCTCTGAAATCAGTTTTGAATTTTACCACTGAAATCAGTTCTGAGTTTCAGCACTGAAATCAGTTCTGAATTTCAGGTTTGAAATCAGTTCTGAGTTTCAGCTCTGAAATTAATTCTGAATTTCAATTCTGAAATCAGTTTTGAATTTTAGCACTGAAATTAACTTTGAGTTTCAGGACTGAAATCAATTCTGAGTTTTAGGATTGAAATCAGTTATGAATTTCAGCTCTGAAATCATTTCTGATGTTAAAGTGTGATAGCCTGAACAGTGGCGGCGAAAGCAATATATCCTACTTTGCTGATAAATGTCAACACTTCTAGCTCTCAAAATCAGTTCTGATAAATTTCTGAGTTATGTCTCACTAAACTCTACCATATGCTCATTATCTTATTGGATATTTTATGTCTCACTATACTATACAAAGTAGTGTTTCAGATTTTGATTGCAATCTTGGCCTTTATATTATGTCAAGAACGAACAACAAAGAAAAAGGATGAAATTAAGCCACTTGATACACACATTAGCATGACTATTAGACCAAGATAAGTAACAAGAAACTACAATTACAACACACCAACAACCACAACAGCCAGTGCATCTTAAACTGGTCTATGCATATTAAACTGATCGGCTTAAAGGGACTTGAAATATAATTCATATTAGGCTGGCCTCTTTCTCTATTACTTATAACCGACATAGAAATGGGGTGAAGTTGCTGTTACTTGTTGTAGTAGAATAGTTGATACTAGGCCACTGGCAGCAGCCAATTTTAAAGCTTGGCAGCAACTAAATACCATGCTAGTATAAAAATGTTCTTTCAAAAGACAATTTTTAATAGACCATTATTAAACGATTTAGACTATGATACTAGCTTTTTTGTTTGATATGAATGAACTAAAACTCAACCCCTCTAGAACTTCAACAAGTAAACTTGATACATCAATTTTGCTACACCATTGTGATTTTAACCATTGTAAAATCATACTTACCCCTACTACTCTTCAGCTCATTGATAAAACTGAGGATTCTCACATAACTTAACGGCTCAACCTGATTGTAGGATTCATACAAACAATTAAATCAAAAAAACCAACCAAAAAGCCTAAGATCATAATCTAAACGAAGCATAATGCATAATTTTCATGGAATCCATATAAACTTCTTAAGAGTTCTATAACTAAAATCGCTTATAACTTAATTTAAGTGTACTACCACATGCATATATGACTTCAAATAAGAATCAAATTTCCCATCCTAGTCCTTTCTTTCTTGCCAATAATAGCGTTCAACACAACAACAACCACAACAGCGTTCAACATAGATGCAATAACAATAATAAAAACAGCAGCATTCTCAATGTAACGGTAATCTCAATTAACTTGCACACACAAATTTACACACGCTTCAAAGAGTAAAACAGAAGCCTGACATACTCGGCTAGTGTACACCAATTAGAAGCTTTATCTATTAAACCTTTATCTATTAAACAGCAGCCAGACATAATTGGCTAGTGTACCCCAATTAGACATGCATGTACCCCAATTACACAAAGCAGTTCACAAACAATCAGCGTTTATTGATTTTTTTGTTCGAAATTATTCATCAAAACCTAATTTCCTTGGTTTTTTAATAATCTAATTTCATTAAAAATTAATCAAGTAATTGAAAACAACAACAATCAATTCGAATTTACATGTAAAAACACTAATTCAAAAGTAAAATAACCCTAATTCAAAAGGAACACATACCTCAAAACTTTGATAAAAATCCCCTAAAGCTGATCTCAAATTCGAACAAACCAAAGCAACAATTAATGGAGTGCGATGCAGCGCAAGAGAAGGAAGAGAGGTGAAGGAGAAGGAGAAGGAGGAGCAGTGAAGGGGGAAGGAGGAGCAGTACGTGAAGGGGGAGCAAAGAACTTTGTTAGTTTTTTTTTATTTTTGCGAATTCTGAGTTTTTTTTTTTTGAAATAAAATTGATTCATAAATAAAGTCATACGACATTTACAAAGAAATTTAGATCTAATGAATACATAATAATTGAATCAAATAAAAACATTCCATAAGCAAAGCTACGATCGTTGTTGCAAATCGTGCATTCTTCATACCCTCTTTTATATCGCTGTGATTTACAGCCTTCATTGGCGAGGGGGTCTATTGATCTATTGTAGCCCTGCAGAAAATTTTCGTCTGATTCGCTAGATTGTAATCGACATATTAACCTCTTTTTCGATCTCGCACAAATTTTTACCCATGAAACAACTCTATAGAAATCCATAAAATAAAAAAGCAAATCCTCCCTCAAAAGAGAGAAGAAAAACCCGGTCTTTTGAAGGAGCCAAATCTTCCTAAAGAAGAAGAAAAACCCTGTCTTTCGAGGGAGAAATATTCCTCCTAGAAGAGGAAGAATTATTATTATAAACCTAAAACAATAGAAAAAGCACACAAAAACAAACAATAGGGGCTTTCCACCGATAAAAACCGATGGAAGCCCCTCCAAAATTCAACAATGGAGGCTAGGGTTTTAGAGAGAAGAGAGGAAAGAGAGGCTAGGGTTTTTTAATTTGAATTGCGAATTCTGAGTAATAGCTACCTTAATTTTTTTTTTCTTTAATCAAAATTTAATTGAAAATTACTTTTCAAAAAAAAAATTTAATGAAAAATAAATAAAATTAAGAGAAAGTATAAAACTACAAACTTTCCTTCAAAAAAAAAAAAAAAAAAAACTACAAACTTAATATTTGTTGGTTTAAAAAAAAAAATTCTTGTTGGACTTATTATTTATAACCAGTGTTTGTAAGCTAGTTACAAAATTTTTACTTTGACTTATTATTTGTAACTAGCGTTTGTAAGCTAGTTACAAATGTTTTGGTCAACTTTTCTTTGACTTGTTATTTGTAACTGGCATTTCTAAGCTAGTTACAAATGTTTTGTTCAACTTTTTTTGACTTAATATTTGTAACTGGCGTTTATAAGCTAGTTACAAACTCTTTGGTTAAACTTTCTTTGACTAAGTATTTGTAACCGGCGTTTGTAAGGTAGTTACAAGTTTTTTAGTCAAATTTTTTGTGACTGAACAGTTGTAACTGACATTTATTTAGGCAGTTACTAATAAAACTTCAAATAAAGATACACCACATATTAGCAACTGACATTTACTACGTTGGTTACTAATGTCATGGAATTTGTAACTGGCATTATCTTAGTCGGTTACTACTGATGCTTCTGTAACTAGCATAATATACGAAAGTTACTAATAGGGCGTTACAAATAACATTTTTTTCTACTAGTGAAGAACGAAGTAAATGAAGTTCTGAGAATTCTCGAGCAAGAAACGCGACGAGCAGCAGCGAAAATGAGGAAAAGAAGGGTATTTAAGGAAAACCCAACTCTGGCGCCAAGCGCCAGACCTTGGCATCAACAGATAGGCTTGGCGCCTGGCGCTAACTCCAATGTCTGGTGCTACAGCCAGTTAATTGGCGCTGATGTTATTTCAGCGGCGCCAGAACATTCAACCACTCAGTACGGTTGTTCTAACCTTTTGCAATATATCTTGGGTCCCTTGGTATGCCAGTTAGCCCCTCTAAGCAATTTGACACGATTTTCGGTAATCGACTTGATTGCATAAAGTTATCGACCTGATGAAAGATTGTCTCACTTAGCTTAAAGCGCCTACGCATTGGCTCATCGCAAAAAGTCCCTATCGATACTTTGACTTTTGTTTTCGAAACTTACGTCTCTCCAAACTCAATCAAAGTGGGGGTTTCTGTAGACACCCATTTGTCTCTCCCCTAAACAAAACCCAGTAATGAGTAACTTTCACGTCAAATCATAATCAAATGAAGTGAAAGTGTGGAAATTTTAGTGTTGCGGATAGTTTTAATTTCTTTTCTCCTCCCTCTGTTTTTGAAAACCTATTTTAAGAAAATAGCCAATCTAGTTTGGTTGGTCCATGATATGGGTCCAATAGTAGTGTAGTTGGATGGAGCTTGAAAAGAGCTTTCCAACGATATATTATAAGCCCAATTCCGATGAATATTGAGGAAGTTTTGGCCAAATTATTGAACTGGGCTCGGTTTGAACCTTATATGCCACCCAATGGTCTAGAGGAGGGCCTAATATGGATTTATCATTCCTAATGCAATTAGGAATGGTTTTAGTCTTTTAGATTCTTCTAGAAGGTTCTTTTTATTCCTAATTCAATTAGCATTGATAAATTGACTTTTGTTGACTTTTTAGAGTTTTAATCAGAATCAAAGAACGTTTTTTAGGAAAATACGATTTTATCCTCTTGTACAAAAAATTCTATCTGATTATAAGAAAACACGTCAATTTCTTAGTCAGCGCCTAACGCTATGCTTGGCGCCTGGCGCTAAGGTCAGCGTTTGGCGATAATCTGGTTTTTTTGCGTCAGAACTTTGTTTTTGATGTTTTATCTTTTGGCTGATTTTCTCTATAAATAGTCTCCTAAAAACTCCGTTTGGATTCACCAACTCTCATTAAGATTCTCTCTTACTCTCTCTCTCTTTTCTAAACTAGCTTTCTCTCAAATACAAAATTCCGCATTGATTAGACTTAGATACACCTAGCATAATTTGAAGTTGCCTTCGCCCTACACGTGAAAGGTTTAAATTTCTGAGGGTTTGGTCCCAAATCTCTCTTTCAATTATTTAATTTAATTGTTTGTTTATTATTTTCCTTGAAGTTACTAACGTGTGTATTTTGTTATTAGAAAGAGGTACGAGGCATCCAAGTAAGTGCTTTAATTGATAATGATATTATTATATAGAAATCATGCTTAGGTTGTTATTATGATATTCGTAGTATCATGTCTAGCTAGGGTAACTTTAATATTAAGTATGAAAAAGTATGATGCTTCCTATGTTCTTCCTAATATTTATGATTGTTAGTATCATGTTAGGGTTAAAGCTTTGATTTTTATTGTTTAGTGACATGCTAGGGTTTGTTATTAATCTTATTAGTATCATGCCTAGGATCTTGCTATTATTATGCTTTAACATTATTATGATTATTTTTATGATTCATTATTATAATTATTATTTTGATGATTATTTATTATGTTGCTTGATTATTTATTGTTATTGCTTGATCACACATTTTATGCATATTTAAAGGGAATTTGTACTTGTAATCACGCTTAATAAGATAATTATTAATCTTGTTTAGGGTTAATTTGATTCTAATTCAAGTGATCGCCAATAGTAGTTTTATTTGTGCATTATATTTCACCAACATAGATTAAACAGGTTTAGGGTTAAACCTATTGATTGTATGTTAGTCAGAAAGCGCACATGAATACGATCCGAATAAAGTAGAGGCCTATTATTAGGGCAGGTTCAATCTCTTTTAGGTTGGATTTGTACCTTCATCCACGAACCCTATTTGGTTCAAGACCTTATGGAGATGACGATCTCTTGGATCGTTAAGGGGTGTAACATTCACCTCGTGAACGGTTTACAAGTTCCTAAAACTTGTTGGCGACACTTTTGATCTATCTTCTTTCCCTTTGGACGCCAACGTACTTTAGTGTATGATCACAGTGGGTTCAAGCTAGGGATTAAAGCTTGAAATATTCCCTACAATTTGACTTCCATTCGTTCTAAAAAGCTTTATTTGAATATTTTTGACTTTCATTTGATTCAAAAGGCTTTATTTTATGTGTTTGACATTTATTTGATTGAATTAGATTCGTTAAATGCATTTGAATTTCATTCATTTAAAAAAGCTTTTTTAAATGTGTTTGACTTTCTTTTGATTCAAAAAGCTTTATTTTAATGTGTTTGAGTTTCATTTGATTCAAAAAGCTTTGTTTGAATGTGTTAAATTTTCATTTGATTAAAAAAGATTTGTTTGAATATGTTTGAATTTTATTTGACTCAATTTGCTTCATTGAATGCATTTGACATTCGTTCAACTCAAAAAGCTTTGTTTGAAAGTGTTTGACTTTCCCTATATTCAAAAGATTTGTTTGAATGTGTTTTACTTTCACTTGATTAAAAAAGCTTTGTTTGATTGTGTGTGACTTTCATTTGATTCAATTAGCTTCTTCGAATGCATTTGACTTTCATTGATTCTGAAAGCTTTGTTCGAATGTAAATGACTTTCATTTGATTCAAAAAGATTTGTTTTAACGTGTTTCACTTTTATTTGATTGAATTAGCTACGTTGAATGCATTTTTCTTTCATTCGATTCAAAAAGCTTTGTTTGAATATGTTTGACTTTCATTTAATAAAAAACCTTTGTTTGCTTGTGTTTGACTTTGTTTCATTTAATTAGCTTCGATGAATACATTTGACTTTTATTCGATTTAAAAGGCTTAGTTTGAATGTGTTTGACTTTCATTTGATTTAATAAGCTTTGTTTAATGTGTTTAACTTTTATTTGATTGAACTAGCTTCTTTGAATTCATTTGAATTTCATTTGATTTAAAAACCTTTGTTTAAATGTGTTTGACTTTCATTTGATTCAAAAAGCTTTATTTGAATGTGTTGGACTTTTATTTGATTCAAAAAACTTTATTTGAATGTGTTTAACTTTCATTTGATTAAAAAAGATTTGTTTGAATGCGTTTGAATATAACTTGATTCAATTAGCATTATTGAATGCATTTGACATTAGTTCAATTAAAAAAGCTTCGTTTGAATATGTTTGACTTTCCTTAGATTAAAAATAGCTTTGGTTGAAAGTGTTTGACTTTTAGTTGATTCACAAAGCTTTGTTTGAATGTATTTGACTTTCCTTAGATTCAAATTACTTATTTGAATTTGTTTAACATGCATTTGATTCAAACAACATTGTTTGATTGTGTGTGACTTTCATTTGATTCAATTAGCTTCGTTGAATGAATTTGACTTTCATTTGATTCAAAAAGTTTTGATTGAATGTGTTTAACTTTAATTTTATTCAAAAAGCTTTATTTTATTTTTTTCACTTTTATTTGATTGAATTAGCTTTGTTAAATGCATTTGAGATTCATTCAATTCAACAATCTTTGTTTGAATGTGTTTGACATTCATTTGTTTCAAAAAGCTTTGTTTAAATGTGTTTAACTTTCATTTGATTCAAAAACCATTCTTTGAATGTGTTTGACTTTTAGTTAATTGAAAAAGGTTTGTTTAAATGTGTTTGACTTTCATTTAATTTAGTTTAGGGGTAGGACTTTTCAAACCGAATCGTGAAACCGCCCGTTACCGAACCGAACCATCACGGACCGATCCGTTTATAAACCGATAAATATAAACCGAAAACCGAACTGAACCGTTCAATAT